CAGAGTGCCTGGAAAGAGTGGCTCGAGAGCCTGGATCGAGACCCGTGGCGGCGCCCGTACAAGACTGTGAGTCAGAAACTCCGGCCTTGGGCGCCTCCCCTCACCAGAACTCTCGAGCCGCGCTTTCTGGACCGAGTGGTCAGATCCCTCTTCCCTGCGAGGGAAGAGTGGGTCCCGCCGCGGATGGCAGCACCATCAAGCCAGGTGCCGGCAGACGAAGGGGCAATACCTCCCGTGGACGACGCCGAGTTAGGGGCCGCGATACTGGCACTCCGGTCCAGAAATCGCGCCCCGGGCCCGGACGGCGTACCCGGGAAGGTCATTGCCACTGTCATGCCTGCACTAGAGGAGGAGACGCTGTCCCTCATGTCGGAGTGCCTGGCGTCGGGGAGAGTCCCGCGACGATGGAAGACCGGCAAGCTCGTGCTGCTCAGAAAGCACGGGCGACCAGCCGAGTCGCCGTCGGCCTACCGCCCCGTCGTTCTGCTCGACGAGATGTGCAAGCTTTTTGAGCGAGTGCTCGCTGCACGTCTCGTCGGCCACCTGGAGGGGGCGGGGCCCAACCTGAGCGACGGCCAGTTCGGCTTCCGTCGCGGGAGGTCGACGATCGACGCAGTATCCCGACTGCGGGACAGCGTCGACGAAGCGGTCTCTGGGGGTGAGGTGGTGTTGGGCGTGTCGCTGGATATAGCCAACGCCTTCAACACCCTCCCCTGGGAGACAATTGCGGAGGCGCTGAGGTACCACAATGTCCCGTGGTACCTCAGGCGCGTCCTTGCGGACTACTTCGTGGACCGGGCCATCATCTACCCGGCCTAAGGTGGGGTGGTCCGCAGGGACATGTCTTGCGGCGTTCCACAGGGGTCGGTCCTTGGGCCGCTCCTGTGGAACGTAGGCTATGATTGGGTCCTGCGCGGTGCTAATCTTCGGGGAGTCGGCGTACTCTGTTACGCCGACGATACCCTAGTCACCGCGCGGGCCCCAACATTCCGCGACGCCGCCGTACTCGCCACGGCAGGCGTCGCTCATGTAGTGCGTCGCATCGGGGCGCTCGGCTTAACGGTCACCCTGGAGAAGTCTGAGGCCATCTTCTTCCACGGGCCTCGGCAGACGCCGCCTCGAGATAGGTCAATCGTGGTGGGCGGCATCCCCATTGCTGTCGGGAACAGCCTGAAATATCTCGGGCTCGTTCTCGACAGTCGGTGGCGGTTCGAGGAGCATTTCCGGCAATTGGCACCGAAACTGCTGGCATTTGCCGGAATGCTCTCGCGTCTGCTGCCCAACAGCGGAGGCCCGGGGTCTGCCTGCCGCCGTCTCTATGACGGAGTGGTGCGCTCCAAGGCGCTCTACGGAGCGCCCATATGGGCGGAAGCCCTCAGCCCGGCGAATATCGCGCGGCACATTTACATAGACGCGGAGTGAAGTGACGAACACGACAGTGAAATTGGTGTGGAAAACGGACCATTTTTAGGGATTTTATGGTCAAAAAACTAGCTTAAGTTTAGTGACTTTTTAAAACTCGATATCCCTTGAAAGAGATCAGTGACCCCCGTCTATTATCCTGTGGGAGGGTGCGGCTCGGGGAGACGCTTCTTTTGAGCCCCCTCTCGGATTTTTACGACGACTCCCGGAGAAGTTATCACACTTTTGCCGGGGGCCGAATGAGAACCCCGCGGACACGAGGTCCTGATCCCGGTCCGTAGGGAACAATTGTGTTGTGCAGTGCGTGCGGGATAGGAAGCACGAAAAGGATTTACAAGAACCAAAACTGTGAGTAAAGTGGTTTATAAAATATAGACAAAAAACTGACAGTAAACAAACATTTTGAAATCTGCCAAAAAAGTGATTTTTAGGGGTGAAGACAACCCCCAAGCTAAAATCTAGTAATCGTGCTTGACAGAGCATCCAAAGCACGATCGTTTGAAACCTCTCCCGTTAAAATCGGGCAACAAACGGGAAAGTTAGAGGAAAAACAAACATCGTGCAAAAATTTCCAAATTTTTTCCTAAACAGGAAACTTTGGGGGCCCATAGCTCCGTCGACAAGGGACCTAGGTCAGTGCAAGCGACCTAGGAACCATTTTTTAGACGACCCCTATTATTTGAAACCGGAAAATCGGCCCTACACCAAATTTTGGGGGGGGGGTCCTTTCCGGTTTCAAATTACGTAAAATAAATTGTAAATAAGTAGCTTCACTTTTATTTAGGTAGTTCTATCATAATATTTTATTTGTAAGGGGTTCGATTCCCAAATACAAAATGTTATGACTGAAAATATTTTACATAGTTATGCTCATAGCAAATAACATGTTTTTTTTGTGTTTATTTATTTATGTATAATCATCACTTACAACAGAACTGTAAATAAACTAGACATGCGATTTAGGCATGCATAAATCACTGAAAACCATTGATACTGAAAACATTCGTACTCGCGTATTACTTTCGCCGTGAACGCGGTTCAGTTGCGGTCACCGCCGCCTCCACACATACCTACCCGTCCGGCGCATTTATTTGCAAAATCTGTAATATTGCCGGATTCTGTGTCACATCACATAACATCACATCAACAGCCTTTAATAGTCTACTGCTGGACATAAGCCTCTACTTAGAAACGGAGTTTTCTGTATATGCGGCGTCTTTTTGTGTCAATAGGTGAGTCGAGCGATGAGGTAAACATTGTTATTAATCTTTATCGTTTTCGGTCTTACTACTAAAGGTAGGTTACTCGTCGCTAGATAAACTCGCAAATAGGAACAAGTTATAATTTAATTTCGATCAGATCAGATACATCACAAAATTCTTAACGTAACGTGCGGTGGCTACGCTCGCAGGGCGGCGCGCACTCGCAGCAGCAGCGCGTCGCGGTGCGCGCGCGCGTCACTCGCGCACGCGCCTCGCACCGCGTCCAACAGCGTGCAGTGAGCGCGCCACACCGTTGTGAGCTCGGACCCGCTGTCGCCACTGCGCACCACCAGAGCCACGGTCTGCAACTCGTCTGCCGGCCAAACACGGGGTTCGCATCAGTGTAACTATTGGTTAACCGTATTGGAGCTTCAGTTTATCTATATTTATTGACTAGGTGTACGAACGTCGCTAACTATTTAACGAAGGCGGAGTAAAGAAGCGAACGTTAGGCTCGTACCGCGTACGAGACGTGCTCATCGCGTACGGTGTATATCTCCTAGCGTACGATGTGATGCCGGAGATATCGATCATGCTGCTATCGCTCTTCTCCGACTCTAAACAAAACGAGCGGCAATGTTGTGCAACGTTTACCGCAGAACACAGGCCAGGGCAGCAGCGGCAGGGTCGTGCAAGCGCGCAGCTGCACGTGGACGCGGTGGTGGCGCGCGGCGGCGCCGTGCTCGGGCGTGGCGCGGGGCGGCTCGTCGTGCGCCTCGACAGCGGCGCGGCCGGCGCACCGCGACCCGCACTCGTACGTCACCGCGTAGCGCCACGTCGTGTAGTTGCTGTCGTCTTCCACCACCGACCACGACCCGCTGGAAACCAATACAAATTATACCGAGTGTTCGTTGAGGCCGTTTTACACATTCGGTCAAGGTATAGGAAGCCGTACATTGGGCCGACGTGGAGAGATCCACTCGGTGGTATGTTAGAAGTTGGCGGCAACATTGTCCACCCAATCGATAAGATTTTTGCCCGACACGCTGACCCAGCACCTCAGCCCGATGTGTAAAGCGGTCTTTGCACCGACGATCCGGGAGTTCACGACCTTTCAAAATTTGTTTCAAACGTCGTTCGTCGTCGTCGTTCGTTTTCATATGTTAAAGAGAATACCCGTACTATTTTACCCTAACTTAAAATAAAAATTATATTTAATGAAAAAAAATATGTGTCACAAAAATGCGTCTGTGAAAGGTTTGGAGCTCGTTAGTCATCTACATACTATCTTACAGTACCGATTGGCACCTTATGACTAATTTATTTCCAAATATAAAAGATAAACTTAAAGGAATTTGTTTTATGAATCCTGAAGATGCCGTGGCTGTGTTTGAAAAAAAAGCGTGTAAGAAATCCCTAAATAAGAGTGGTCTCACTGCTTGTGTGTGTTGTTGTTGTTGTTGTGGGCTCACTACTTGTAGTGACTACATCAGTGTAGTACTACTTCGAAAAGCAATAAAAATGGTTTCCGTTTAACCTTTTAGTGTGTACCTGTGTGTACCTATATTTAAATATTTAAGTTGCGTGATTTGAAGTTTAGGAGGGGTTAGCAGATTGACAAGCAGACGCGTAATGCGACATTGTTTTATAATCACTACATTGTATAAAAAACTAGTTTAAAAAAACTAAAAACCACGCTTTTTATAGAAAACCAAACTAAAAAATTGAAAATAAATTTTAATCCCTTTTTTTGTCCCTTTCTCGTATCACCTCAGTTTGAGAGCACCTCCCTAACTGCCTCAGCCAGCATCGGAATCCTAGGCATCGACATATCGAGCGAAGTCCAGTTTCGGGGTCACTTAGAGGGTAAGGTCAAATTGGCCTCGAAGAAGCTCGGTGTACTGAACAGAGCGAGGCAGTATTTCACTCCGGCCCACCGCCTTCAGCTCTATAAGGCGCAAGTCCGGCCGCATATGGAATACTGTTCTCATCTCTATGCAGGGGCACCTCAGTACCAACTTCTCCCTCTGGACCGCATCCAACGAAGAGCGACTAGAATCGTCGATAGCCCAAACATCTCCGATAGGCTCGATCCCTTGGCGTTACGTAGAGATGTGGCTTCACTCTGCATTCTCTATCGCATATATCATGGAGAGTGCTCCGAGGAATTGTTCGTACTAATACCAGCCACAAATTTCCGCCATCGATCCACACGGCAAAATTTTCATCCTCATTACCTGGATATTTGGCGCTCCACTACTGTGCGCTTTTCGAGACACTTTTTGCCTCGCACAATTTTTTTTTTTTTTTTTAAGCAAGTGTATTGTCGTCGGTCCTCGATATATCTACAAAGTTTGAACGAATTCTAACAGTTTAAAGTCAGTCAAAATCACGCTCAAAGGAGTCGGTTACAAACATACAAACAAACATACAAGTGAAGCTAATATAAAGTGTGTAATAAGTCGCTGCCTGTCTGTCTCTATGTATGCTTAGATCTTTAAAACTACGCAACGGATTTTGATGCGGTGTTTTTTAATAGATAAAGTGATTCAAGAGAAAGGTTTATATGTATAATACATGCATAATATAGTAGAGAAACACTGATAATTTTAGAGGTTTCTAATGTGATGTCGTAAATAAACACCTTTTTTGCGCTTACATTGCAAACGCTGGCTGAACCCTACGAGATAGATCAAAATAATGTACTGCAGTATTGTACACCTTAAAAAGATCTACAAAAAAGTCCGTCATGGTATATGTCTATCTGTTAGGGATAACCCACAATAACCACTTTCAATTCTTTACTTTTTACGAGAAATAATGGCTTATTTACGAAGTGATTTTAAGCAATACACGTTTATCGGAGCTCTCTAGGAAAATAACAATACTTATTGAAACGTGCTTTTCAGCGCGACAACGTAATCCGTGCTTATTTTATTTTATTTTATAAAACAGGTACAGAAACAGACAACAGATTATGTAACACAAATAATAGCATTTTAACATACATGTTATAAACCTGATATCCTATTATATCTGTACACATCATTTAAAAGTTAACAGCTTCCTAGAGATGAAGACAAATACACAAACAAATTGAGATTATAAGAAGTGAATACAATGATAACAAAGGTGACGACTAAACGCTAAGCTAATTTATCATATATGGCTTTTTTAAAGTTAATTAAATTATCATTAAAGATATCCAATCCTGAACAAATATCGTTATACTGCCTACACATCCTCTTAAGTGGGCTATTTTCAGAGACATTATTAGTACGATTATAAGGATTATAAGGTACGTTACGATAAATTAAAAATTTATATATTTGAAATTATATGATAGTATTTAAATAATATAAGGAATTCTTTTTTATGACAAAACATTTTTTCACATTTTTTCGACATTTTTTTCGAAATTGTACATATGTGCGTACTTTAGTCGGTATTAAGGTTAATTTTTAAAACATGGCCAATTATATGTCGCTCTTTAAAGAGTAACCTCTAAAGAAAACATGTAGTATATTTAGTATCAGCATTGCACCCGTGCGAAGCCAGGGCGGGTCGCTAATAAATACTATGTAAAAATTTATATTCGGGTTTTTTTACCTATGGCTGTTACTTTGACCTGGTGTCTTAAGACGCTACCTGCTACTTTATACGAGTAGGTACCTACCTACTTACATATTTGGTTGGTGTGAGAAGTCAGCGAGCAGATGGGCCAGTGTGTGCGGCTGCACTCGCGGGAAGTGATCGCTCGCGTTGTACTCGGCGGGCCAGCGCAGGCAAAGGGCCGCGAGCAGCGCCACCGCCACCGCCAGAGTCCACCAATACCGCCGCAGCGACGACCACCACACGCGCCGTATACCCATTGCGCACGCGCAGATCTACCTAGTCTGCCAATAAATAGTATAATGTGAACCTTTCAACATTCCTACTAGACTAGTAGTCAATGTGTTACACTTACGTAGTCTATTTCTAGTTAACAGAGAGCGTAATTTCATTTGACGACCGGATGGCGTAGTGGTTTGTGTAACGGACTGCTATTCCAAAGGTCGCGGGTTCGATTCCCGCTCAAGTCAAACATTTGTGTGCATGAACATTTGATGTTTGATTTGGTCTGGGTGTTTCTATGTATAATATGTATGTATTTACAAAAAAAAGTATATATGTATTTATATCAGTTATCTAGTACCCATAGTACAAGCTCTGCTTAGTTTGGGACTAGATGGCGTCGTGTGTATGTGGTAGAATATTATTATTATTATTGGACAGTTAATCCATTTGTTTAAGTATGGCAGGTACGAGTACTACACGTACAACAGTTTATTGCACTTTCTATATTTGGTACTTAGACTAGCGTTAGCTCGCGCTTTCGCTTACGTACAGGTAGGTAATTGTTCCGTCGCTCGGGAACACAACTTCTTCCTGACAACAGGGCCCTCGTCTCATTTCCCCTATGAATGAATCAATAAAAAAGAATTGTTGTAAGTGTCTCAAATCTTTATATATTTTGTTTTATATTTTAAAATCAGTATTTTAACCTTCTCTAATAACTGCTGAGCATTAATTGTCCTTATCTTCTGCTGAGCCTTATTCTGTGAAAAAATTACAAAAACTAATTCTATACATAGATATTACAGGAAAATGTATAAGAAGTCTAAGTTCTTAAATAACTTAGTAAAACTCTCCAGGAACAAATATAGTTATAAGGTTTTAACCAAGTATAATATCAAGAGTATTTTTAGCGCAAAAAACATCAACTGGACAATCTGGAAATTGACTAATTCATGCAGCCCAATCTGTTGACCGTCCCTAGCATGTTCATGTACGAAGTAGCTAAATATGTGCAGTGCAATAAAGAGCTCTTTGCATTTAAGGATAATACTAACAAAACTCGCCTTTTAAATTAAAAGTAGCATACCTAGAAATTTTCAGGTTAGCTGTGTTTATATGGCAACACTTATTTATAACGCGATGCCGGAGAATATTACAACTGTTCTTTTTCAGAAATTTTGTGCTACGTTAAAGAATTGGCTAGTAGTAGAGTGTGTGTATACCTATACTCCGTCAATGAGTTTAACTAAGTCACATCACTTTAGAAATGCATTAGCGTACAAAACTGATTTTTAACACTTCAATAGTAATGTAATATAGTCATCAATCTAATGATTTTATATAGTTTTGCTTCATCATTTTATCTGTGACATCTTAAATATTTGGGTGCCAGCACTCTCCCATTCCGCAGAAGACGCATCGGGCGCTGTAGACGCTAAACGATCTCCAGCCTAACATTAGAGCACAAGGTTCGACAGCATAGGCAGGTCCAAAAAGAGAGCCATGCTCCGTCACACATGGGTACTCAAACGGCAGCGACGCACTTGAAGCTCTTGTGATGGAAGTGCCCACGGGCGGCGAGTTACTCATCAGCGGGGGACACGTCTGCTCGTTTGCCCCTTATACAGTGCAAAAATCACAGAGTGGTTTTTGTATGTTTGCCATAAACCCCTCATTAGCATTATTCCTGACCGTTGACAGACAGAACAGAACAGAAAATTAATTTACTTAGGTTTTAAAATAAAATATATAATCTTATGACATTACTTTAGGTAAATTACCGAATGAATGACGATGAATTGTTTATGCTTCTGCTGGAGAAGGACGCACAATCATTAGGGATTAAAAAGAACGAATATTCATATTCAGCCGCCGCAATGTAGCATTTGCCTTTTAAAAAAGCATGCAAATGAAAACTCATCAAGTTTAAAAGATATATAACATATAGATACAAGTAGGCCACTACAAAACAGCGCTATAACATTAGGTAGCTCCACAATTTATTATTTACTTTGGTGTAAACATAATTAGATGCCACCCGTTCATACTTACTGAGTTAGCTTTCAAAAAACTTTGATGCCTACTTCCCAGAACAAATAGCTAAGTAAATGAATAAAGTATTTGTGTAGTATACTCACACGGGTATCGGTGGACCAACTTCAATCCGTCACGTATTATAACGGTCGACACGTATTATAACGGTCAGTAAACAAACACAGCGAGCACAACGTGATGGTGATTTCGAACTGACTGTATTGGCACTGAGCTGGTGCCGGCCGGCGGAAGTTTTCACAACCAATCGGAACAGAAACAGATAAGTTTGCTGCCGGCGCTGCGTCGTGGACTGATAGCGGCGCGGGACGGTGCCGGGGAAGGGAGCGGGGGTGGGGAGGGGGAGGGCTGGGGCGCGGCTCGAACATGTGGCGCTCTTTTTATAGACGCACTCACTAAATAAACTAGCGCAGTGCGCGCCCGACGCGGTGAGATCAACAACATCGTCTTTTCTCATGATAGATGGGGCAAAAGAGCAGACCGGTGACTTGATGGAAAGCGACTACCGCCGCCCATGACCGCCTGCAACTCCGGAGTCACAAGCGCGTTGCCGGCCTTTGAGGAAGGAAGTACGGTCTTTTCTTGAAGGTCTCTGTGTACTTAATGTACTTATTTTGGTTATAAGCGATATTTTTGCCACACATTAGAAGTGACAGTCGGACAGGCCTACCGACTAATTGAGGGCGTCGCTGTAGCACGTCTCCATTCAGTGACAGTAGTGGCAGTGGTATAGATGAATAAAAAAAAATAGTGCGTGTCAATAGGGAGATTCCAAAAGTAAATACTAGTAGTACTCGCTGACTGTACGCACATAGCGCAGGTGTAGCAATATGCTGCGACAGCTTGAACTCGACCTTAAGTGAAAGTTTTAAATAATGCTAAAATGAGACACGTGTTATCATTATATTGTCAATTTATTCTTACATAATTACATAATCAATCATCATTCACTCAACATTTGACGTACAAACATACATTAGCATTAAATTAGACCACATCACATCACATCAACTCGACACACCGCACTGCAAGTGCTCGGAGGTGACTCTTAAGGCCGGGCAAGATAAAGGGCGGGGCGACGTAAACAGGTCGTAATGGTACTAGTTAATGTAGAAAATTTCAAAGAGAGTCGTGCCGTCCCGCCGGCTGTCTACCCCGACCGTAACCACGGCCACTGGCGACGTCCGCTTACAATATCGCTGATCGTAATGTGGCACGTCCTTAACTGTGGCTCTCACAGATAATTACATACATTCATTAGATCAAATATTTACATCCAACAATTAATAGTTACGTCGCGACTCACGCATAAGAAGCTCTATCCAAAACAGTCGAGTTATGAACATTTACATAAAATTATTTAAAATACCATTTGTTGTGCGTGGTCAACACCATTCACGTCAATTATCAATAATTAAAATAATACATCTATTTGTTCTAACAGTACACAACGCTAAGGGCGCTCCATCAGTGTTGACTTCACTGAGAATAAAGAACTTTATTCCTTGTTCTGTCGTTGACACCTAATGTACAATCTGAGCGGAGGACCGACTCTGCGTTGAGCTGGAGATGAGCACGGGAACGAAAGGTCTAGAGGCGCTAAGCTATATAACATACATAATATAAGTGTACATTGTGACTCGTTTGTGATACTGTCGAGCGAGTGAACGCCTCGGGCCGGTGCTCCTACAGCTAACAGTAACGTTGTTCGTCAATGGCGCAGCTCGGAACACGAATGTTCTGTCGGCGCCACGTCACGTCGGCGGGTCGAGCGGTCACTCATAGGCTCAACGTTTCCTTATTTCGATTAACAAAACCACGTGATATATAAACTGACGTATAAGCCGCAGAGCATATGTACACACACACACACACACACGCAGCACTAGCCTCGTGGCGGACCTGTTCTCATGTCTAAGTGTAGTGTGTAGGCCATTCCTCTAAAATTTATCAAAGTATAATGTGGCTATGTGATGTCATCAGCGAGGAAGGCTATACGACATACGTGACCGTGGCAGCGAGTCTACCGGTGCACATGGATATTTAAAAACTGCTGGTGACCGTTCACAACCATTATCGCTGGTGAATTTTTATCGAAGTCACAATTACTATAAATAGATTGTTTAGTAAAACTACTTTTGACCGGTGCCGTCAAAAGATGTCTGATGATCGATTATGAGTTTCGTCGTCGACGGTGCGTATGTATATGTGCCATTTGATTCGAGAACATTTATCAAAAACTTCAGGCCGCTGAGTGTCACGTCTCATTTCAAACAGATATATATTCTGACTTCTGTTTATATATTTGGGATGTTCACGGGAATATACACATCTTACAGCTCGTAGACCTTACACATTTACAGTTTCTATATCACAGATTTAGAAGAAAAGTCGCGTATTATACTGTCGCGGTCGAAGCGGTGCTCTAGCTCGTCGGGACGAGGCGGGACAAGGCGGAACCCGTCCGAGGTCTTCGAGCGTCGTCGCGTCGCCGCACACCGTAGCGTTCACCGAACGCCTCGCTCACAAACATACTCATCGAGCGCAGACACATCTCACAAATAAATTAAAAGGAAATCAGTCATTCGCGACACAGTCCGGGGGGCGGCGCGGGGTAGGCCGCCGGCTCGCGCTACCGACGCCGGCGCCGGCCCTTGCGGTAGCCCTTGCCGTACCAGCCGCCCTCGTCCGGCGCGAGCGGGCGCGGCGGCGACTGGCCCGGCGCGCCGCAGCACGCGCACAGGTAGCGCCGCCCGCGCACGCGGCGCCACGCGCGCGCGCCCAGCGCCGGCTCGCGCGGCGCGCCGTACCACAGGCAGCGCCGCGCCGAGAAGTGCCGCGCGCACCACGCGCACTCGGCGCGCTCGCGCGGGGCGGGCGCGGGGGGCGCGGCGGGCGCGATGATCGTGTGCAGGCCGGGGTACAGCGACGCGCGGCACAGCAGCACGGCTCGCCGGATGATGGCGGCCGCTAGCGAGCCCGCGGCCAGCGCCCCCGCCTCCGACTCGGACGAGTTCGCCTCGTCCTTCGGCTCGAGCTTCGCCTCCGTTTTCGCCTCCGCCTTCGGTTCGGTCGTCGGTCGCGTCGCGATATCCGCTCCCGCGAGAGACGCGTCCGCCTTCTCGTCCGGCGGCTCGGTCTTCGCCTCGAGCCCCGACGCCGTCGCCGACTCCGGTCGTCGATCCTCGGGCGCGACCTTCGCGTCTTCGTCGCCGGCCCGTATTCGGGGCTCGTACCGGAGCAAGCGCCGAAGTCTCGAGTCGAGCCCCGAGGAACCGTTGACGAAGCTCGGTTTCGGTTCGGCGAGGGTCGCGGGCGAGCGGAGAGGTCGCCCGTCGTCAGGTCCGACCCCGTGGCCGTTGAGAACCGGCGGACGCGGCGGGCGCTCCGGCCCGCAGCGCACCATTCTGAACCTCCGCAGGTCGGCCGTGAGCGAGGGCGGCGGCGCCGGGGGAGCGTGCTCGGCGCGCAGAAGGATCGTCGCGTCGCACGACTGCAGACTCACCTGAAACGAGAACGGAGGCGCGACATTAGAACGAAACCACACGATGCGGTACGGCGCCGGAGCGGTGCGACTACGTCGTCCTACATAGAAATAACTAGTCGCAATCACTACGCTGAACGTGCACGCTGTCGAGAGCGAGTCGGTGTGAAATAAACTTATACTAGGCCCTCTGGTCTTACCGCCGCAATAACGGTGTGCATAAATACCCACCGCACTATTGCTAGGGTGACGCACGTGAAAAATTATGTTCTACAATTATTTAACATAAGTAACCCGCGTGGCACCGCACCGTTAACGCATCGCGTGGCTTCGCTCTTAGACGGTGTCGGCTCGGACGAGGGAGGAGAGCGGGCGGAGCCGATTCTCACCTGGAAGGCGCAGAGCGCGTCGGCCGCGGACGATGACACGGGAGGAACGCGACGATCCTGCGCCGCCTCGGGCGCGCGAAGTCGGTCGGCGAGGCGACGCAGAGGTAGCTCCTCGTCCGAGTCGGAGGCGGAGGGCGACGAGGGCTCCCACTCGTCAGACGCGCTGTCGTCGGGCGCGACGGGCGCGAGCGGCGGGCGGTGCGCGGTGTGGGCCTCGGGCGCGGCGAGCGGCTCGGCGTGCGCCAGCACGGGGTCGCGCGCGGCGCGGTAGCGCGGCACTCGCAGGCGCAGGCGCCGCGCCACCTGCCGCATGACGGCGTCGCAGCGAGCGTTGATCTTGAGCGCCGCGACCGAGTCCTTGGGCGTCCACTGCAGGTTGACGATGTAGAGCGCGGGCCGGGCGCGCGGCGCGCTCTCCATGCGCCACAGGCGCGGGTAGCGACGCAGCACCTTGAGGCTGGAGCCGAGGCACAGCACGACGTCGGCGCGCGCGGCGTGTCGCAGCGCGCCGGCCCAGTTGAGCGGCCAGGCGGCGCGGCCGCGCTCGCCGAAGTGCACGATGGAGTCGCGCAGCTCGGCGCCGCAGGCGTGGCACAGGCGGCGCGTGCCGTGCTGGTGGCGCGCGGTGCGCTCGGTGGTGTCGAAGGCGCGCAGGTACACGCGGCGGCAGGGCGCGCACAGCTCGGCGAACATGTCCCCGTGCAGCTCGGCCAGCGCGCGGCGCGGCAGGCCGGAGCGCAGGTGCAGCCCGTCGCAGTTCTGCGACACGACGAACTTGAGCGCGCCGCGCGCCCACAGCGCCGTCAGGGCCATGTGCGTGAACGTCGGCTGCGCCCGCGAGACCTCGACGCGCCTGCCGGCAACGACACGTGTTTTATTCACAGATATGATAAATCCTACTCGTTATTTTATAGGTTGTGCGTTTAGAAGGGCTCTTTTTTTTGACAAACCTAATTTTTTAAAAAAATATTTATGTTAGAATGTCTCAGTCAGTTACTAGACAACAGTATTGAGTCTGACAATTGTCTATTCAATTTGTTTATTTCTATATTGTGTCTTCTCTATTGTCCGTTTGTATATTCAATGATAATATTTAATGTTAATAGGATATTTACCTATGTTTAAGTAGGTTGTTTAGAAATTTGCCAATTTCGTTCGCATTTTTGATAGAAAAAATGATTTCAATTAAGTACCTAATTGCTAATTATTATTATTTATTATTGGTCCGCCATAATGAAGCTATGATTGGACTGGACCCATCAAAGACACTATACAAAATTTTAGGGCCCGTCTGCACAGCGCAAGGGCAAAAAAAAACTGTGATTTGATACAAAATGAACGCGATACGGTGGCGATTTATTTCCACAGAATTTTGTTAAAAAAACGCGCGGTAAAATATCGCTGTGCAGACGGGGACTAATTTCTTTCTAGGTTGACATCAGAAAAAACTAAGAGAAAGTATTACACCAGGAAGAGAGCATGAAACTTGCCATACGGGCTGCCAGAAAAAACAGTAAGATTAAACGAAGCATCTCGAATTTATGACAGCAACTTTGGAGCACAGATTGTGAATGGAATGCAGAAGTGAGCATATTGACCTATTTCTTAGCGCTCCATGGATGCAGCGTGCCGGTGCCGGGTCCATCGCGTGATAGATGGGTGCATCACATGCGAATTCGTCAGCGCCTGGGATTTGCGACCCAGGAATAAAAAAAGTTTGGTAAAAGTTCTAAAATATTTCATTGATCGATATTTAGGTTATTGTTGTTTAATTAGATTACCATTTTATACAATTACAATTAGATAGAGAATTTAATAGATTACCAAGCTTGGACTTTCAGTAGAAATGTTTCTAAGTCCATTGATAGCGACGAAGTGGTCCGTTGAATGCAACAGTGGTCCAAGGAAACTAACAGATCTACAAAGTTTTAAATTGCTAAAACTGATCAACTTTGACTTCAAAATAAATATAGCATTGTATCTATTTCAAGAAAGGATTAAATATTAATCATTAGTTTTATTTAATTAGTTGTGACACCTTATAGTTATGTGGTCCCATCGTCGCAACCTTCCCCCACACTCTGTAGCCAAATATATCAGTTTTGATCAAACCCATTTATTACCCATATACATTTTGAAGCAAAATTGTTTTATACATTATACATAGTCATGTAATTAACATAGAGATTGAAATCTGTAGACATTAATTTACTTATATTTATATTACTAATTAGGACCCTGCGCCCTTGGCACGTAAGAGACACATACCCGACCGTCTCGCCACGCTGCAGTCGGGTCCACACGCCGTCTGGCCCGCGGTAGTCAGGAATGTCCGCAGCTGTACTGATACCAGCTCCTGTATACACCTGTCACAAAAAATGGTTATTTTGTGATAGCAACTATTGTATGTGGCTACATGTTTTAACAATCAAAGAATATTAGAATAAAGTATGTTTTAATACCATAATAATATATGGTTTTCATTAGTTTCAGATCTGAAAAGGCTTATTCATGCAATGCTGACTTCATCGCCTCCTGTCCAGCAGACTTCTACAGAAAAGGGAAAAACAAACTGCTATCAAAATGGCAACTTTGTAGATACTTTGGGCCAGTACATATAAAAATTTAAAAAAATATATATAATTTAAAAAGTTCTTAAAAATCTCCAATGTCATGGGTAAAGACCAAATAATTTTAAAAAGAGATGATTTTGAGTGTTTATACATTGTCACAGGCACACACTATTCCTCTGGTGTCCTGTCCTATCTGGTGTCTCACTTCCTACTATTACTTCTGGTGTCCTTTTTCTTTTTTACATTGCAATATATCCTGTTATTGCACTGGATTTGTGTAGTTATCTAAAATTTTATCTATAAATATAGAACCTGAATAAGTTAAGATGTCTGTGTGGTGATGGATTAAAAATATCCTGTGACTGTCGTAAGAGTCAACTAGGGGGCCCAACTACAAAGGACGGCAGCACCACCAAGAGAAGGAAAACTTGACATTTACCCTATACCAACCTGTCTGGCCAGCGTGGTATAGTAAGCCAAAACCTCCTAAGGAGAGGCTATCCTATGTCCAGCAATGATCTATTAAATGGCTGTTGATGGTTGATGAAGTTAAGATTATTGTTTAGAGACACATTAACAATTTCTTCAGGTCTTCATTCCTAAGATATTAATAATTTTTTAACATGAGATACTGTTATGTGGTTTAAAGTGAGCTACCAAATTATATATGAGGAGGGTATCTGTATGAAGAGTACCAGTTTCCTATTAAACTATTTTTTAGACAAAACACATGAGCTTGTGCTGTGGGTACTATACACCTGATATAAATACATATATACTTTTTTTTGTAAATACATATATATTATACATAGAAACACCCAGAACAAATCAAACATCAAATGTTCATGCACACAAATGTTCAACTTGAGCAGTAATCAAACCTTTGGAGTAGTAGTCCATTACACAAACTACTATGCCATACAGCTGTCTAAAAAGGACCAACAATTGTATTTGACTGTATTGTTCACTAAAGTTCTTGCAGAGTTGGTTATTTACTTATATACCTACTATGTGTACTTGCAATGGTAAATGAATGAAAACTGAGTATCACCTTAGACATGGCAGTCTCCGAGGACCTATTTATTGACTTAGCGTTTTGTGAAGAATATTCTACAGTGTACAACGCTAAGAAAAATAACATGACTGTACTGAAACTTAAGGCTCACAAAACTCTTAACAAATACTTATTATTACTTCTACATTTATTTATTTGATGTATGGAAAAAAAAGATGGTGAAAAGAAGCAGTTAAGAGAACTATGACAACTTAAATACATACCAACTATTTAATTGAATAAAACATTCATAATTTAAATGTTTGCACAATTTGTCAGTTCACTAACATGTTTATTTTGTATTTTCTGTAAAATAATATACAATATGTAATTTACAACGGGATGTACGATCACGACACAAGTCCGTAGAGTCCTACGTCTCTTCTAATAATTGAGTGAGCCTGAACAGAACCGACGGTAGAAGGCGACTCACCACCAGATGTTTAGCGTTCCGCAGCGCTCGAGCGAGCCGCCGGCACTTCTCCCGCAACACGCGAGGGCTGTCCTCCACTTCTCGGGCGCGTTCAGCGGCGCGGGCCCGGCGCTGCGCGGCTGCGCTGGAGCCGGACATGGGTCGTCCGCGGCCCAGAGCCACGCGCGGCGCGGCGCCGGCAGCCCCGGCCGCGGACGCCGAGGACTCGCCGCTCAGCCGCGCGCTGGAGCGCACCCCTCCGCGGCCCGACATGGCCCAGCTACTGGTCGCGCCCGTTCAGCGTCCTCGTCGGCTTCCTCCGATATCGTCCGTCTACAGTCGACCCCGGGATGTCGCACATGTCGTTCGAAGCTGACGGTCGATCGCGACGCTCGTAAACAATCAACGAGCCCGTCGTTATTCCTTTCTCGGATGAATCCACAGATTAACAATTGTTCGATGACGCTCCATGTCGTCGATCTGTCAAGACGAGTTCAAAAATACTAAATACCCTCTACTCACTACTGTCAGTTCATTCATAGATCGCTTAGATGATATTATAAAAGATAACCCCTCGATTTATAGGTTGTTGCCTGTATCTCTGAGACCTTTTATCGCGATAACAGACATATACGCGAGTGGAGCCACGAGCAAAACTAGCTTTTGCCTTTTTAAAAATGAAAATGTTATGAATATTTATTTTAATTATTTTTATGGTACTTATGGGAAGGAGAACGAGCAAACCGTCGGGTCAAATTGATAGATACAACTATTTGTAATATCAATGATGATTGTTGTAGTAATAAATAAAGTCATATCTATATTAATATCCACCCTTTTTTTATTTATTTTTTTATTTTAGAGGGAGCATACGAGCAAACGGGTCACCTGATGGAAAGTGACTATCGCCGCCCATGAACGTCTGCAACTCAAGAGTCACAAACGCGTTGCCGGCCTTTTAGGAAGGAGTACGCTCTTTTCTTGAAGGTTTGAAGGTCGTATCGCTCCGGAAATACCGCAGACGATAACCCGTTCCACAGATTGGTTGTGCGAGGCAAAAAGTGTCTCGAAAAGCGCACAGTAGTGGAGCGCCAACTATCCAGGTAATGAGGATGAAAATTTTGACGTGTGGAACGATGGCGGAAATTTGCGGCTGGTATTAGTCCGAACAATTCCTCGGAGCACTCTCCATGATATATGCGATAGAGAATGCAGAGTGAAGCCGAGCCGATCGGAGATGTTTGGGCTATCGACAATTCGAGACGCTCTTCGTTGGATGCGGTCCAGAGGGAGAAGCTGGTACTGAGGTGCCCCTGCATAGAGAGGAGAACAGTATTCCATATGCGGCCGGACTTGCGCCTTATAGAGCTGAAGGCGGTGGGCCGGAGTGAAATACTGCCTCGCTCTGTTCAGTACACCGAGCTTCTTCGAGGCCAATTTGACCTTACCCTTACCCGAAACTGGACTTCGCTCGATATGTCGATGCCTAGGATTCCGATGCTGGCTGAGGCAGTTAGGGAGGTGCTCTCAAACTGAGGTGATACGACAAATGGTATCTTTTTTGCGGTGAACGGACATACCTGTGTCTTTTTTGAGTTAAACTAGACTAGATTTAGTCGGCCCCAATCTGAAACCTCCGCTAAGGAAGTTACAATTTCAGACACAAGTTTGTTTCGACTCTCGATAACGTTTTCCCGAGAAATGTTGGGGCGGCTGGTATAAAGGGCATCTCCTGTGCTATCATTTGCATAGCAATGGATGCCACTAGTTTGCAACATGTCATTGATATGCAGAAGAAACAGTGTGGGTGATAGCACTCACCCTTGTGTCACTTTTTGAACCAAATTTCCCCAATCGACTTCTCAAATTTATTGAAATTGCGTATCGATTGTTGTCACAGCCACGGTTGTTTGGCGACATGTCAATGTAGTGTCACTTATTTATTTATTTCAAACTTTATGCACTTTTGTACATCGGCGGACTTAATGCCCAAGGCATTCTCTTCCAGTCAACCTTTGGGTGGTGTAGAAATCATAAAAGGTAGGTGCACAGAGATTACATATTATGACATGTAACATTTAAAAATATACATACATATACATACACATATACAACACATCACATCATACACATACAAATATAAATATCTTTTATAAATATACATGTTATATTCGTACACTATGTATACCGGAATATGAGGTGTACTATGGAGTGGATAGTTCTGCCATTTTATTAAGAAGGAGATCATGCACCTTCTATTTGAATACAAAACGGTTAGTGGACATTCTGATTTCGAGCGGGAGCGCATTCCAGAGTAGTACTGCTTGAACAAAGAATTACACTGTTATTACAGAGAATGTGTATTTATTTGTGTGAAATTGTTGTTTTAATTATTATGTGTGAGTTCCGTAGTGACAACCAATTGTTTTTGTTTGGGAGTCCGAGAATTTGTGCGTGGTGTAGAATCCACCCCCCTCCCCCGTAAAAAATGACAGGTTATTTTGTATTGCGAAAATACGCCATGGCTACTCCGAGAACCGTGTTGCTCTATGATTGACATGCCTTTTTTTTGTACCAAAATATGTGGCAGCATTGCAGTAAATAATCATTTTAAAAATAATATTAATTTTAATAGATTACTGAGCTTGGTTCTATTAACAACTAGCAGATTTCAACGTTAAAATTAGAAATTCATGTTAAATTCTCGGCTCACCTCATTGTTGCGAGATTTTTCTTCAATTAAGAAATAGACGTTAGCCTAAATAAAATAACTTTTCAACTTTACTCCTTGAATATAAATATAGTACTAATTACACTTATGACTATTAAAAAAAATGAGTGCATAATTTTATTTAGAAGTAAGTATAAAAAATTAAATGTATTGCACGCTTGCACAATTTGACATGGTATCCGTCCTTGAGTTAACGTCTCGATACTTTCTTTTCAAAGCTTAAAAACTTCGGATTCAGATTCCTATTTACGTTGCCGTCTGTCAAAAGAGTGAAAAATCACAATGTCAAACGTCAAAACCTTTCAAGATTCTTTTAGTAATTTTGACAGGTGGGTAAAGTTTGAAGTGGACGAATAAGTGATAAAATCCCTAAAAATCTCAGGGAATACCGATAACTTATATTAATTTGATCGAATTATTTTGTTCTAATTATAGTAATCTATTTAATTCTCGAGATATTTCATCGTTATCTTTGTTTTTATTGCAGTTCCTCCGCGAACTTGGTACAAACACAACATGGTAAGCAAAATCATAATTTGTTGTTGTTTTCTGATTGTATTTAAAATAAACTTAGAAACCCAACTTGTGCGTTTTCATAATAACAGTTTTTGTTACTTTTTAGCCACGTGAAATTAAAGATATCAAAGACTTCCTGTTGAAGGCGCGCAGGAAAGATGCTAAGTGTGAGTATCAGCATTTGTTAATATATGGGTAATTGCCGGCCGTAGCTACCGGGCCTAGTATTGTGCAGTGGATTGTGTCTAAATTGTGGATATATCAGTGGTGAAAAATACCAAGTGTTAGTAAATAATATTATCATGTTATGGGTTCTTATTAGTTCCTCTTTATCAACTTGCCTGTTAAACAATAATCTAATGTGTAATGTGTTAACGAGAGTACCATGCGTTGACCCCTGTCCTCCGTGCATTACAGCTGTGAAAATAAAGAAGAACCCAGAGAATGTGAAGTTCAAGGTGCGATGCTCTCGCTTCCTGTACACGCTGGTCATCACTGATAAGGAGAAGGCAGAGAAACTGAAACAGAGTTTACCGCCAGGTATGTACTTGTTTGTGTGCACTAAAAGTTATGATTTAGGTTATATTTGTGTCATCCACTTGATTCACATTTAAAAGTTTGTTCACTGTATAGTGTATGAAAATGAATTAATTAACTCGCTGTGTTCTAAACTTACTATCTGAACATTGTGTAATCTTACAGTCCTGGAGCCAGGTTTGCATAAGGGTATTGTGTTGTAAATCAGAAGTAATATAAAGAAGCCATCCAGAGAAACTGGATAGTACAATTTCATGTCCAGAGTTGACTGGTGCAATAATACCATTATAAAAAGTTGTCAGAAAGAATAATTTTGTCATGTCACAAGCTCTGGATCTAAACAGAAGGCTAATTCTATCTTTTTTTTTGTGTCCGTCTGCATTTTTTTGCTTTGTGTATTTTGTTGTTTCCTTGTCTTCTATTGGGTCAATCCCATGCCCCCCTAATGGGGGGCATGGGATTGACCTGTGATACCTGAATGTGTATTGGTACAGTAGTACTGGATTCTACAGCTGCTGTTGCTAACAATAATTATTATTAGTGTAATGTTTTAGGAATCAAGTGTTGAACCAAGTGTTCAGCAGTGGAAAGCAATATGCTAATGATGATGATACTTTATGTTTCTCCCGGTGGCTGCACTCACAATTGATGAAAATGTTGACATGCTCTGCTAAGTGCTAACCATTTTCTATGAAATGTGACATGATTTGGATTATTATTGTCCCATTATGCAAAATAAATGTATGTCAACCATCATTTGTGTGTACTACTGCCAACACAAGTAACCATGATGATTGTCCTTATTACAAAAATAAACAAGACATTGTTAACAACTTAGTATCTCCCTTGAATATTAGGGAAAATAATTTTTGCAAACAGCCTAGAAATATTTTCCTCATGTAAATATTAGCTGTTTATTATGGGTACAAAAAGAAAACACAATATTATCATGTCAGTGGTTGGCAATATCTGACCAATATCAGTCTTTTGGCAATGTAATATTGATCCAAAAGTCATCACTACAAATAAATTAAATTGAAGTGTCTGTTTGTAAAGTCAAAATAATAGTTTTATTTTCATGCTCACACAGTTATTTGCACAATACATATAATTAAAACCAGTTTAACCGAATTTTCATAATATTTTACTACTACGTCGTCTATATTAGGAATAACTTAGGCTGGAGACTCTACTCGGGGTTGTGCCATTTATGCCCTAGTATGGGCAGGAGCCCTGAAGGCCAGCATGTCATGCTAATGCGACGACCACAGCGAGTGCTGGCCATCAGGGTCATAAAGGGGTACCGCACGATCTCATTGAGGCAGCAAGTCAAGTGGGACCTGGAGGCAAGAGCCCTTGTGTGGCTCTGTATCAGTGGCGCAAAGAGGTGCAGGAGTTGGGTCTGAGTCCTGAAACTCGAGAAAGCGAAGACAAGAAATCCCAACTCTGCCAGGTCCTTGTGGAGGAGTGGAAGGAACGACTTGGGCAACCAAGCGCTGGGCACGCCGTTATCGCGGCGGTAAGACTCGTTATGGAGGATTGGCTCGAGAGGCATTACGGCACCCTCTCATATCGGTTGATGCAAGTGATCACCGGGAAAGTATGTTTCGGAGATCACCTGTGTCTGATCAGCAAGTAGCCAACGCCTGAGTGCCACCACTGCGATGGCCGGACCGTAGACACGTCGCTCCACACGCTGGCAGAATGCCCGGCGTGGGTTGAGCAGAGCCGCGGCCTCGTGGCGGCCATCGGAGTGGGAGTTTTCTCGCTCAGTAACATGATTGCCGCTAAGATACGGAGCGAGAGTGCGTGGAACTCCGCCGTCTCCTTCTGCGAGCAAGTTATGCTTGCGGAGGAGATGGCGGAGCGGGACCGGGAGAGGTTTAGAACGTTCCCGGTCCGCCAGGCCCGCAAACGGACCAGATACCGCAACCGATTCAGGGGCCGGAGGTCACAGTACGCTCTCCGTCCTCCATAAGCGCATGCCTGGGGGTGGTAGGTGAGGCCATCTGTCACCTTGCAGAAGCAGGCCGGGGTGGTAACGAGACGCGCTGAGGGCACGCGCGTCTTTTCCTGAGCACAAAGGGGACAGGGGTTCCCACACAGGATCGGGTACCATGGATTTCCTGTCTAGAGTATACCTGGTTCCCCAGCAACTGGTACCCGAGACGGCGTGCAGTTTTTGGTCGGTTCGAGTCCGACATAACCATCCGACCGGTGGGTGGTAACAGAGGGGATTTCTGCCCCGGAAAAAAAAGTAACAGGCTATGTACCCTCAGAAAAATTGGAATCCACTAAGGCATGGCTTTTCAAATTCTACGCTAAGTTGCGCTTACCAGTTAGTAATAAACAAAATAAAAGTGAATGATGATCAATGTGGTAAACAAGGTGTAAGTATCGTATAAGTTGTTAGCGAGTAATCACATCAACAGCCTATAACAGTCCACTGCTTTACATAGGCCTCTCCTTTGAAAGGAGGTTAGCGAGTAATTCTTTATTATATTGAGTTGACATTGTTCCTTTGTTACAGGTCTCCAAGTAAAGGAAGTTAAGTGAAGTGACTAGGTTTACCAATTAAAAACATCTAAAACCAACATCGCATTGTTTTATTTCTTTATCACATAGTAATACACACACAGAGACATTGGAGGAAAGTTCATAATTAATGCTACTTGTTACTGTTAGGTTTCCACTGTGCACTTAGGGTTCGCACTAGACACCTTCAAAACGAAGAATCATATCACATATACGAAATTTGTGATTCTTTGACTGTTTGAATGTGAGGACTCTGCCAAATTTTGTAAATACAAACTAAAACGGTCAATGTAAATTAATAAACAAACCAACACATTTTACATGAAATAGTTTTCGTAAATACAAACGGTTTACATATTACCGTCTTTAATAGCCATTTTTATAAATACACATACATATAGATCCTATTTTTTTGTTGAAGGGGTGGAAAATTCGATTTGATTGACGGCAGGAGTCGGGAGCATGTGGTGTTTCTACTAAGAATCACCCGACAGCCCGTCTCAGGCTTACTCTGTGGAGGACCTGGACTGTGTTATTTCAGGTCCTCCCGTGATCGACGCCGCGCCTAGCCAGGCTCTGGCGGGGTTAAGACGCGGGCGTCCTGCCATAGATCAAACACGTTTCTAATAAACTGTTAGATCTTGGAATTTAGTATCCAGCTACTCATTGAGCGGAAAAAACAGCTTACAACCATTCCATTATTATTCATATTATCCCGTTCCGTGTGGTGATGGATTAAGAATACAGTGTCACCACCCCTATTCATCCCGAGGGTGTCGTAGGAGCCGACTAAGGGAGGAAACTACGCAGAACAACAACACTGCAAAGCGAAAGAAAACTTGAAACAAACCCGATACCAACCCGTCTGACCAGCGTGGTATAGAAGGCCAAATCTCCTTTCTGAGGAGAGGCCTATGTCCAGCAGTGGACTAGTAAAGGCTGTCGATGATGATGATGATACCATTTATCCTTTAGCTTCTTTAGGCCCGGAGTTCTCTGAACGTCGGTCGCGTGCGAGCGACGACTGTCGAGTGTTGTCGGCCGGTGGCGTACGAATGAACCCAGCGCTGGGTTCTTAGAAACGTCGGTGGCGGACAGTGCGAGCGGACAAGGTCGGTCGGTATCATATTTGTACCATAGCGACGGGCGCACGCCGCGACGACGACGACGACGACTTTAAAATGTGTTTTAATAGTGAAAATAAATCTATACTTAATATTATAAAGCTGAAGAGTTTGTTTGTTTGTTTGTTTGAACGCGCTAATCTACTACTGGTCCGATTTGAAAAATTCTTTCAGTGTTAGATAGCCCATTTATCGAGAAAGGCTATAGGCTATATATCATCACGCTAAGACCAATAGGAGCGGAGCACCAATGAAGAATGTTTCAAAAACGGAGAAAATTTATTACTATTGAGAGACGCAGATGAAGTTGCGCGGGTCAGCTAGTTGTTAATAATTTTATAGGACACAATACTATCTTGTTCGATGAATCAATCAACAATTTATGTGGGTCAGTGATTTTATCAATATTGAATTAGTTTTTTTCGTCGTCGTCGCACGCACGCGACAGACACGTTCAAAAAACCCCGGGCCTTAGTGGCTAGAAACATGATAGGTGCTTTGTGTAGAAGAAAGACCGGTATCGGTGGTGAAATGAGTTTATAAGGAATAAACTCATTTCACCACATTTAAGTTTCATATAGATCTGATGATAAGTTTCGGAGACAGACAACGGAACTTCAAAAAATGATAGCAAATAAACTGCGATTGCTGCTAGGATTTTAGTGCTCTTTATTAGTATTGTTTGAAGTCGGTTCAACTTTTTAATTGAACAGCAGACTAAAGAATCAGTAGCCATGTAAGCAGAATGCTTACATGGCTACTGATTCTTTAGTTTTCTAACAGATGGCGTTAAGAGTAACAGTTCAATTGATAAGAAATTACACGTCTTATTAATTTTATCATTATCGACAGATGGCGTTAGTAATTTAATAAAAATTATAATCAATAAAAAAAATTGTGTGGAAAATAATATTTTATGATAAATAAGACATCGACGGGCCTGTTGGTCTAGTGGTTAGTGACCCTGACTGCTAAGCCGGAGGTCGTGGGTTCGATTGCCACTCAGGATAAATAATTGTGCGATGAGTACGATGATTTGTTCTGTATCCTGTATCTGGGTGTAAGTTATCTGTAACATGTATGTATTTAGAAATATATAAGTATGTTTATCAGCAGTCTGGTTACCAGCCTGTACTATGTGTACTACCAACCAACCCGTCTGACCAGCGTGGTATAGTAGGCCAAAACCTCCTTTCTAAGGACAGGCCTATGTCCAGCAGTGGACTAGTAAAGGCTATTACGGAATACTATGTGTACTTCCGGCCGTGTGTGCGATATGTGAACTTATTAGTTATTATTATTATTATCTAGACATGAATCGAAACGTGACTGCACGGATGGCGTAGTGGTTTAAGCGGTCGCCACGCCGCTTCCTACTACGCCGAGTGTTGTGGGTTCAAACCCCACATAGGACGACACTTTGTGTGATCCACAAATTGTTGTTCTGAGTCTGGGTGTTCGTTGTGTCCGTTTCATGTATATTTGTAAAGTCCCCCGCGACACAGGATATATTCCTAATGCGGGAGTTGTCTTTTTAAAAAAAAAAAAAAATAAGAGAAAAAAAAAAAAGAGAAATCACTGCCAAAGCCAAAACCTGAAAGTGTAATAGTTTTTCAGTAAAGCGTAATGCATAGATTGTAGAATATATTTATTTTTATTTTATTTTATGTATTATGATTTTTTTATGGAATAGGGAGCAGACGAGTCACCTGATGGAAAGCGACTACCGCCACCCGTGAACGCCTGCAACTCAGGAGCCACAAGCGCGTTATCAGCCTTTGAGGAAGGAATACGCTCTTTTCTTGAAGGTCGTATCGGTCCGGAAATACCGCAGCCGATAACTTGTCCCACAGATTGGTAGTGCGAGGCAAAAATTGTCTTGAAAAGCGCACAATGGTGGAGCGCCAATTATCCAAGTGATTCGAGTCGCTCTTCTTTGGATACGAGCCAGAGGGAGAAGCAAAGCAAACAGTATTCCATACACGGTCGGACTTGCGCCTTATAGAGTTGGAGGGCGATGGGCTGGAGTAAATTATGCCTCGATCTGTTCAGCACACCGAGCTTCTTTGAGGCCCATTTGACCTTACCCTCTAAATGCTCGCGAAACTAGACTGCACTCGATATATTAATGCCCAGGATTGCAATACTGTCTCTCGAACCGAAGGCAGTTAGGTTCTCGAACCGCAGCGGTATCTTTTTTTGCGGTGAACGCGCAAACCTGCGTCTTTTTTGCGGGTAAAAATAGACCAGATTCAGTCGACTCTAAGCCCCCCTAAGACCCCGCTAAGGAAGCTTTAACTTCAGACACAAGTCGTTTCGACAATCGATGACGTTTTTCGGTTTCCGTTGGACGATTTTAGTTAAAAAGCATCTGCTGTGCTATCATCTGCATAGCAATGGATGCTACTAGTTTTCATCGCAGGTACCTAACAGTTCGATTCAGACCTCCCTCTTTTCTATGCCGATTCAGTAGCGCTATATATGCCGTTTAGTTCGTGTGGCACCCACTTATTTTAGCTTTTTTATCTTTCCGATTTGACGGAAGTGCTTCAATGTTGTTTTGACATTAACTGCCGCAGCAAGCTCACTTTCTTTTTTTTTTTTCTCTTTTAAAAGACAACTCCCGCATTAGGAATATATCCTGTGTCGCGGGGGATTTTACAAACATACATGAAACGGACACAAAGAACACCCAGACTCAGAACAACAATTTGTGGATCACACAAAGTGTCGTCCCATGTGGGTTTGTGGTCTATAATTACCGGCTGACCGCGAGACTCGTTCTTCAACTCAAAATTTCAAGATCTAAAACGATTGAACCAATAATGGACCGTTTTATGCAAGTAGTGTTAGGCCTGTACACGTGGTTAATGTTTAATTGTTAAAACAAGACACAAATGACTGAATTTGAAATTAAAAAAACGGAATTGCGAATTGATTTCGAAAAAAAAACGAATTGCGTGCCAATCCACAAGTAATTAAATCCGAAAATGCTGGTTTTTGGTACCTATTTTAACTGGCGTTCATTACGTACCTACGTGTAGGTTAACTTTTACATGTCTATCTAATAAAAGTATGTACTTAGTTGAAGATTTAGCATTTTCCTTTAAAAAGAAGTATAAGTTACCCACTTTTTATTTTAAATGTTTTATTATGACCCAGGCTGATAAGTTTCGATCTTGGCAACCCTAGATCTGGTCCCACTGTGGTGACCATAAGTCCCAAAGGGTTTGTGATCATTAGCAGCAAGGAATAAAATATTCTATATTGTTTGGGAAAGATTAATAATAAAAATTTCGGCATCTGACCAACGCCATCTAGTTCAAACTAAGAAGAGCTTATACTATGAAAACTAGATTGACTTATAGAACACTCATATACTTATTTTGGTAAATACATATCATACATAGAAAACGCCCAAACTCCGACTTAGGAACTACTGGTTTGAATTGAAATAAACTTTTTGTGTTGGATAAACTATTTATCGAGGAAGGTTATAGGCTCTATAACATCACGCTGCAACCAATAGGAACCGAGTATCAGTGAAAAATTTTGCCAAAACGAGGCAAATTTATTCCTTTTGTAAGTTGCGCGGGTCAGCTAGTTCTAAACAAACTTTTTTTTCATAGACATCTACATCAATGATATAGCCAAACGTGAATTGATACATCATCCAACGTTTAAACCATTTGACGCGATCATGAAGTGATCAATTCAATGAGCTGTCCACGACATAGCCACCATCTCCTGCTGAGTGTCCGAGAGTAGCGCAACTGCCGCGCGCGTTGCGGCAACGCGCCACGCTGTGTCGTTGCGGCGGCACTCGGCCTCGGCGGCAGTCGGTGTTTGGTGCTTGGCCAGTGCTAGCGGCAAACGCGACGTAAGGGCCGCCCGACCGCGCACGTGCCTCGCTGCGCGCTCTAACAAAACAGGACTAAACGAAGTTTCTCATATTCTAATATGTTCCATACAAAGATTCGGAGCCGTGCTTTGTGTAAGACTTGTATGGGCTGCTACCGTGACACGGAGTCTCACGTATTTATGACGGAAAGTGCTATATTCGACAGTTGTAATAAGTTTTGAAGTAAGTTTGAAACTTGCAGTTTGCGAAATGACAACTAAGTAAAAAGGATTTGCAATTCCGATCGTAGAAGCTGGCTGAAATGCCATCTCCGGTGCTTAATGTTTGGTTTCTTTCACTTGATCATAATTACGAGACTTATAAATGGTCCACTATCTCAGTTTACCTGTTTTATATTTTAAAGTGAGGTTGATCTTCGGTTACCACTATTTAATTAAACTCTGTACACCCTGTTAATTGGTGAACACGGTCTACCTGAGTAAAAGCGGCCAATCCAACACACTTACAAGCACTCCGCTAGTTATATCCTGTTGCAATCACCGTATCTGTTGCTTAGGCAAAGTCAAATAGCAGTCAAAATGCAAAATAGAGTTACTAAGCTAAGCTTTTGTTTAAATTAGTGTTGCTGTAAGAAGCGACGCGCAGCGGTCCTTCTTTTTTTTTTTGTTGACGGGGTGGAAAATCCCTTCGGATCTCCTGCTCCTCGGGGACTATGAGTCAGGAGTATGTGGTGATTCCACTAAAAACCACCCCGACGGCCGGCCTCAGGTGTCCTACTCTGGAGAGGACCCGGACCATGTTATTTCAGGTCCTCCCCGAATTGACACCATGCCTAATCAGGCCCTATCCCAGGGGAGAACACTTCCCCCCCTAACGCGCAGCGGTCCTGCACAAATGCTAGTCTTGGTAGCGATTTAGAGCCTTCCATCTTCATGGAAAAGTGAAATTAGTGAGTAGGTACCAAGCAGTAGTCTGTAGTAATCTCGAACGGCCCACACAGGACAAGTGTTGTGCCACTTTTTAGGTTCTATTAATAATAATAATATTGTATTTATTTCCCTCATCACAAAGGAACTTATGAAATACAGATCAGTCAGACTACATCATTCCTTTGTGAGCAACTGATGTCTGTGGTAGGAAAAACCTGTGTTACAGATCACCGCCACTCCACACACACAGTTAAGTTTTGTAGTAAAGGTGCATTACATATTTATGTACCTTTACCATTAAACTACTTTTAACTCCAACTCATATATTAAAGCGGGGTGAGGGGTCTATGGACCTCCGGTCGCAACGAAGTTCCTTTTGCTTTGTGATATCATAACTTATATTTTCAATAAGAATTTTGTTGAGAATAGGTAAGTTATAGTTACTTGGTAAACTTTTTGATTTTATTATTAATATAAATAATTCAGTTTATTTTTTTAGTGTTTTAGGTAGGGAGTTTTTGTATGATGTTTTTTTTTTTAAATAGGTTCAGTTTTTTATGAAATTGTTTTTCCATTTTCAATGTAAATAATCATAGGTACGTAGTAGGTTGAACTACTTCATATAAGTCGCGAGAGGTAGCAACCTGCGGAAAACGACCACCTTCTAATGTTATTCCTGCTGATGGGAATAACTGTGGTGGTTTGATACACGTATTGAAACTGGGCCTAGGCGCCAGGGTTCCGAGTTATGTTGAGACGCTACATTTCTGTTACTAAAGGGCCTGGTCCAAGTATCTTATCCAAATATCTTATCCAAATTTAAATGGCCTGCCCTTCGCCCTGATCATATAGAATTAGGCGAGTTACCCGATTCAGTTTTTATAAAACACTTGCTATACCCTGCCACGCTTCGCTGAGGCACATTGTGGTAGCAAAAAATGGATAAAAACCATCTTTGAAGATTGTTATTTATCGTGTCAAAGTTTGAACTCAATCGGTGCAGAACTTTTTAGGTTTTTAAAGCGTACACAAAACGACAACATTTTTATATACTAATATAATTATATATGAATAGATGATGAGGACTGTATTAAAACAAAATCAAGTATTAAAGTCATGTTTTATTTAAACTTAAACGAAAGCAATCAGTAACTGATGACGTGAATAGCACTCTCTCTAAGGTTGTGAACTGGTTCAATGTTTATAATTTACTTTTAAACTAGAATAAAACAAAATGTATTAGATTTTTTACATCTAATGGTAAGTAGGTTAAAACCAATATTATAATAAATGGAAATGAGTTGGATCTTGTTTAGTGGTTTATAAAATACTCCAGATAGACTAGTGTAGGTATTTTAGCTATTTTCACAGTGTACCCAATGCCATACGGTATTTTGTTGTTAGGAAATGTTGGTGACATTGGAAGTACGAGTTTCTTAGTGTTGCAAAAGAGAGCTATTCGCGTAATTTATAATCTCAGTTATAGGCAGTCACTGAGGGATAAGTTTAAAGAAATTGGTATCATCACAACACATATATGAAAATGTAGTGTATGTAAATAACAATATTCATTTATTCGCAAAGTTTAGCGACATTCATGAAATAAACACTAGAAATAAAGATAAACTCGTGTTACCAACCACTACACTAGAAAAGTAAGCAAGTCTTTTTGATGTCAGGGTGTGCGATTCTACAATAAAATGCCAAGCAAATTCCATGAATTAATTATAAAAAAATGTAAGACTAGTAAAACTAAAACTATGTGAAAAGGAGACATGCACTAATACTAATATATTATACTTAACTGTGAATCTAAATCAATCAAATATATATACAATGTTAACAAATAAGATACACAATATAATAAATATATAATCAACGAAATATGTACTAAGTTCACTGTATTATCCAATTTTATACTTAAATATAGTACCATAACCAGCAGAAAATAGTTTTCATAGCGCCAAATATGTAAAAGTAAATTGTAGTTTGTACAAACCGTTTTGTCACTTCTAGGCACGCTCGATCGCTGTTATTCACTGCTAACGTGGTTGAACAAATGTTTGGAATGCATAATGTTTTTAAGTTACGCTCACTATATTTGTGTAAGAAATTGTTTTTTGTTGTTATTTTGTTTCAATTACTTTTTTCTGTATCATAGCTAAATCAATGAAACTGTAATTTGTTTTTCTCTTGTAAGTGAATAGTTAATGTTATTCTTTGTGAGAAATAAATGATACTAAACCTGAAAAGGCTTACTACACGAATACAGATTATTTAGATGACAAATTTGCTTGGGATTGATGCTGCTCACTCCCACATTTACGTTCCTATCTTTGTTGTTATGTTTGAGAGTGATGGACATTTAATTATTATTTATGGTGTATTTCGTTTTTTTTTCAATTTGTTATCTTTCGTTGAATTTGAATTGATAATAGTGTTTTTTTTTGTGTGAGTATGTAAATGTGAGCATAGTGTAGGCTTGTAATGTTAATTCATATTTAGTAACTTTCTGGTGGTTTGGAGTGTTTCCACGGCCTACCCAAATGTCCTGCTGGCGGGCGTGCCGTGCTTCGGATCGTTGATTTTGACCAATTTCGGTTAAGCTACACGATGGCTGGGGCCTGTATGTACAAGCCGACTCAAAAATATGATCCTTTCTTGAAAAGGCCTACCCAGACCCTATACTGCACTCGCACAGTTTTATTTAACTTTGTTTACTAACTAAAAAAAAAGACACTTCTGTGGTTTGTTTCGGCGTTTCTTCCCAGAGTCTGTCTTAGGAAAAGCCGGCTTATTCTAGCTGTAAAGTCCGATTTGTAAAAATATCTGAAAAGATTTACTTACAGAAAATCACTGCACTTACAAACTATCTTAATAGCTAATTCATTCAAATAAAGTTTATGTTTTTGTAATGTAATTATTCCTAAATCTTTTTTTAAAGAAAGAGAGAGATATTAGTTAAACTAGAGAGACATTAGTTAAATGATTCCATCAAAAACATAATACTCGCTGCTGTACTTCTAAAAAAAAACAACCTACGCTCACTCCTTTATCTCCGAAGGGGCAGACAGAGTCGTATTAAACGACCACATTTTGCCGACTATTATTTTGGTCCCGACTCTGGGTATCAGATGAGAACATTAAAGAAATGGTAAATATTCTTATTGACCATTTCTTTAATGTAGGGAAGGGAAGATAATGGTTAGGAATGGGATATTTTTTATAAGGATGAGTTGTGGGGTGAGCAATAGGTCGAGCGAGTCAGGGTCGCGTGCCTGCACCGTCGCTTTGCCCTCCGTCTAAGTTTCTGAGAGGTCTCCATAAATAAATCATATTTCATGTGCTTACTTTAAATAGATTTTGAGTTTTTGACGGGTCAAAAGTGACTTCAAATGGTTCCTGTAAGATACTAAACTAGCTGTCCGCCCCGGCTTCGCACAGTGTGGAGTAATTAATTATACTATTATTATGACGTGTCTGTCTGTCCGTGTGGTGACGGATTAAGAATACGGAATGTCACCACCCCTGTTCATCCCGTGGGTGTCGTAAGAGCCGACTAAGGGAGTAAACTACGCAGAACAACAGCACTGGAAAGAGAAGGAAAACTTGAAACAAACCCTATACCAACCTGTCTGGCAGCGTGGTATAGTAGGCCAAAACCTCCTTTCTAAGGAGAGGCTTATGTCCAGCAGTGGACTGTTAAAGGCTGTTGATGATGATAAGACTATACCACAGGACAGCTTTATATGCAATATTTATAGGCTCACTCCGCTGTCGGCCGGTGCCACCCCGTACGGCCCGAGACGCGGCGACGCCCGCTTTGCTCCCACGTTTTAAATCCCTGATGTCTATTAACATATTCATTTAAATGATATGCTGTTAGAGGCAATTAACATTAAACGCACAACGTATCAAGCGTATTTATTTGGATAAAGAGTAATACTGTATTGTTCAAAATAGCTTCGTAATTTACCCTTTTTTTGGTGATATGTAAAAGATAAAAATGGTTACCCTGGATTATTCTCAGGAGATAGACATATACCATCACAAACTTTTTTGTAATACATATAAACCGGTCTCTTGAACCACTCTTTTGGTTGAAAGCCGTTGCGTAGTTCGGCAGATCTAAGAGTACAAGAAAAAAAATCCGACTTCATTTTATACTATGTAAAGATGTAGGTATGGGTAACTACGTACTGCATGTCGCGTGCACTTTAGCTTAGCTTCCTCACTTCCATGCGTCACTACTGACGTAAAGCTGCTTACAAGTACGCCCTCGATTAATTAATTTATGTTAGAGCAGTTCATCTAAGCAGCATATGTGTTTAAAAAATTCCTACGTTACATTAACAAGAATATGATTATGCAAACACAAAGTCTCATCTTGGTGGTGGCAAGTCCTCATTTGAAATATAAACAGGCGGCTCACAATTGGAGACGCCACCGCCTCCTGTTATATGAATCAAACGAGTTTCGTAAAACTGTACATACATACATTGAGACAAAAATACTGCTCTCTCACATACACACACACACACACACACACACACACACATACACGACTGTCGTCCATTCGCACGTCCAACAGAAATAAAAGAGAGGCACAGATGTACCAATCTCTTCTCGAACCCATTCAAAACATTATCAACTAACTGTAACTTGTTAAAAGCTAGAAGTATGAAATGTCAGTGACTACAAGGGCTTACTGTAACTATGTGTATTCCTAGTTTCATTCAATTCCAAGCTATAGTTTAAGAACATTCCAGTCAAAGTTGTATAATTGTGTCAGCCATCGTTGATCTAGGTTCTAACTTACTTCTAGCAGACACGACATCACTAAAGAAAAACTCAAATATATCCGCACGAAAATCCAGAGCTGTTTTCTGTCTTTCTAAAGCCAGCATAACTTTGTATTAATGGATAATTATAATTGCCAAGATACACCAAAATATTCTGATTTGATCGATTGAACCGATTTAAAAAAAACACAATCCGTACTAAAACGCAACAAACAACAAATATAATTGAAAACATTAAAATAAATGTCAATATATAATAACACTCAATATGATAGGTAATATTACAAAGTCAATAAATACTTCCTGGTCTGTTTGAAGTCGGTGCCAAGTCGGCAACATAATTAGTTAGTAGTACCTAATACTTAGCATCTGACCTATTTGTGTTCATGGCCTATCATTTTATTATGTACGAATAAGAATATATTCTTAATAAAATTTACAAATTGCGACCCGCACTTTAGACTATTCAGTGTCTGCATTGTTCATTGTGTGTCCCTTACCGAGTGCCTTCAATTTTATTGTAACATTGTTTATTATTTCCATTTAAATAATAAAACTTATGGACAAAGTCAAAACATTTATATACGTACATATAAATGTTTTACACTTTGAATTTTATGATCGGCAGATATTATTGCATTAAATTCTTTATTTGCCTCAGGTGTGCAATGACAAAGAGATGTGAAGTGGAGTGGTGGTCACGGTGAGCGATGCGATGGTCGAGGCGCGCTTGGTGGTGCTCAACGTGGCGGCGGCGCTGCTGCTGGCCACCGGCCGCTCCGTGCGGAGTGCGCAGCTCGCACCGCGTCCCGCAAGCCCAGTGCCCTGCGCTGCCAACGGCCTGTGCTACTGCCGCACCGACCACTTCACCTGTAGCTACGTGCCCTTCTACAGGTTTCCCGAGACAGGTACACAATGCTGCCCCTGTCACCACTCACACGTATGGGTGACCCACACACTCACTGACCGTGTGTTTATAGAGGCTGATGTGTGGCACATATCGGTTATGGCGGCCCGGCTGGGCTCTCTCAGTGAAGCAGCACTGGACGGGCGACGTCTGCGCACGCTCGTACTCGTCGCCTCGAGCCTGCACCACATCGAGACGGGAGCACTTGCGTATGTGTCGACCGCGTCTAAGTTTTCTTAGGTTCGACTGGGCCATTTTTAGTTATATGTTTTGACAGTGTTGTAATTACAGGTCCATGGTGTCGACGTTAGCCTCTCTGGATCTAGGCTATAATAAATTCACTGAAGTACCACTGTCTTCTCTTCGTGAATTAAAAGTACTAAATTGGCTGAACTTGCAAAAGTAAGCATCTTAACCTTACGACTGATGTATCTCATCAATGAACTTATTATGTTTTCTTTTTACAGCAATTACATAAACGTCCTAGATGCGAGTATGGACTGGGGTTTCCTAGGGGAGTCGCTGACTAGCTTGTCTTTGAGCAACAACCATCTGTACTCCCTTAGCGCGGGTGCACTGTCGGCGCTTCGGCGACTCGCTCAGCTAGACTTGGATGGCAACAGGTTGCACGGGTTATCGAGTGGGGCACTGCCACCGACGCTTGCGATCTTGCGTCTGTCCGATAATTTGCTCCAACAGCTACCGTGCGCTGCATTAGCGAAGTTGCCACGTCTGCGTCACCTACACCTGCGCAACAACGTACTGCGACCAATTAACAACCACACGTGCCGCACCGAATACTCACGCATTGACTCGCTTGATTTGAGTCACAACGAGCTAGACGACTCATTCTCTTTGGAGAAGACACATTACCAACTGCGGCAGCTCGTCCTTGATTTTAATGACTTCACATCCGTGCCGACGTTCGTCGCAGACAACGCTCACCTGGAGAAGTTGTCCATTGCGTACAACAGTCTAAGCCACGTATCAGACGCGACTCTGCACGCGTTACGACATGATCTCGAGCGCCTGGAACTGGATCACAACGAGTTGGTGACACTGGCGCCGGGCGTGCGTGAGCTGGTCCGCCTTCGTCACCTATCCGCTGCATACAATCGCCTTGCGGAAGCACCAGTATTACCACCGCGGCTGCATTCACTCTCTCTCGCCGGCAACTACTTGACAAACTTCCCAACGGGACTACAATCACTGGCACCAGCTACACTAGTGTACCTCGATCTCAGTTACAATCAGCTCATCTCTGTGATTTCGACAACGTTCGGTGAATGGTCGGCAGCACTGACGACACTTAATCTCAAAGGTAATCGTATTTCGCAACTATCAACTGATGCTTTTCCTGCGACTTTACCTCTTCGCGAACTCACGATGAGTTTCAATGAATTGTACCACGTGGATGCGAGGGTGTTCTCCAACCTCCGAGCGCTCAGCGTTCTCGAGTTTTCATCCGCGTTGTTTAGTGGTGAGTTCCCGCTCTCCACCCCTTTAGAGCCGCTCTCATGGCTCACATTAGACAACAACAATATTCACCACGTGTCATCCAACGACATATTTAACTTTCCGTCGCTCGAATACCTCAACTTGGACTTTAACAAAATTGTGGAGTTTCCCACTGAAGTGTCTGATAAGAATCGCTCGAGTGGACTAAAAGAGCTACGACTGTCGTACAATTACATAGCTAAGATAAACTTTGAATTTCTGGTACAGTTGAGTGAGTTACAAAGTGTGGACTTGTCGTACAACCGCGTGAACAACCTGTCCGAGCATAGTTTTGCAAGTTTACTTAATGTAGTTTATATTAATTTGGCCGGAAACGCCCTCGATTATATTGGCGAACACGCCTTTTACGATTTGCCCAAATTGGAAGTTCTGGATCTACAAGAAAATTACTTGGTAGAATTCTCCACCGAGTATTTCAGAAATGTGTCAAGTAAGGATACAACACTATCAGTGAATGCGAGTTACAATAGGGTGTCGACGCTCGTGGGTGGCGGCCAATATGTTCTCATTAATATTTTAGATCTGTCGTATAACTTTTTGGGAAGCTTATCTAGGGCTTTTTTCGATTCTTTGGGAACGTCCCTACGACAACTTATTCTATCGAACAACAGGCTGACTCACATAGATAACTTGACATTCAGTGCCCTTTCTTATTTAGAGATATTAAGCTTGCGCAACAACAATATCAGCGCAATGAAGCGACGCGCGTTTACAGAACTCGACGCGCTGCAGATACTCGACCTATCGCGTAATAGACTGGAACAGCTGTCTGTGGAGCAGTTCCATAACATGCGCCGTTTGCGTCACCTGCGACTCGACGAGAACCTGCTGCGGTCGATACCGCGTGACTGTTTCAAAAATACTGTACTAGAGCACATAGACTTAAGTTACAACCAACTGTACATCTTTCCTAGCAGTTCACTGGCTCAGGTCGGTTTTACTTTGAGATGCCTGGAGCTTTCGCATAATCATATAGAGTACCTGGATACGGCTATGTTCAACGCCATAGCCTTCCTACATGAACTGAACTTAGCGCATAACGCACTCACCGTACTTTCTGATAACTCGTTTGCGGGATTGTCGCGTCTGCAGCGCCTCGACCTATCATACAACACTATCAAGACCAACTTCAAGGAGCTGTTTCACAACGTGCCGCGCCTACGGAACCTGGCACTCGTATCCGCTGGTCTCAGGGTAGTGCCTCACCTCCCGCTTACAAACCTCACTGAGCTCGATCTGAGCGGAAACCACATTGCTTCTTATCGAGAGAATGAGGTGCGGCGTCTTGGTAACGTACGCAAGCTTGTGCTGGCGAGGAACAAGTTCACGTCACTGCAACCGGCGATGTGGGCGATGCTACCCAAACTCACTTCGCTCGATGTGTCAAACAACCCTATAGTGCGCATTTCTAGCAGCTCTTTCAAAGGCCTTCCTTATTTGTTGCGGCTGCGAATAGATAATCTGCATCACCTAGAAGCAATAGAACCTCGTGCATTTCGGTCCCTAACGTCGCTACGTATGATCACGCTTGAATCACCAGACTTCTCTGGTCGAAGCGAAGTAACAGTAGCTGACATAGCAGCCTGCGTGTTGGGCTTGGAGTCCCTTGAGGTGCACATCAGTGGGCACGTATTGGACTTGCAGCTAAGGACATTGCACGTGCCCAAACTCCGCGTATTGGACATACGGGGTGCAAACATTAGAAGAGTGGCGGCGACTGCGTTCGCTGCTCTGGGGCGGCAGCGCGCATTATCACTGAGGTTCTGCGGCACGGGTGTCACCACCCTGCCGGCGGGACTACTACACCCGTTGGCGCGCGTCCCTCATCTTGCGCTTGATCTTAGCGATAATCAACTGGATACTTTTGCGCCGAGCATACTCTACCCCAACATGACCGGTTGGAACCGGTTCGCAACCAAGCTTCTCCCGGGTAAGTAATAACTTAACCCTAATTTTCATTGAGGCTATGTGTACCGAATATGACTAACTTATATGAATATTGTCGGCAGGTGGTCTGGTTATCTCAGGTAACCCGCTGCGGTGTGGGTGTGGTGTGCAGTGGATAGGTGCGTGGTTGCGGCGGTGGTGCATGGAGGTGGGCGGGGGCTCAGCTCAAGCGCGCAGTGCGGCGCTCCGGAGTACGTGTAAGGCGGGTGCGGCCGCGCTGCCGCTCCTAGGGCTGGACTCCGACGAGGCTCAATGTCACGCAAGCGCCCTGTCCGGACGTGCCGCGCGCTGCAAACAGTCGCCTCCGGGGCCTCCCCCACTCTTGTGGCTCGTGTTATTGTACGTGCTCAGCTAGTGCAAACTTGTGAACTTATTTACTTGACTGATTTTCTTAGTGTTTCTTGAAGGTTAGCGATAGATTGTATGTGTAGTGATGTACAGCAAGTGATTCTTGACAAAACAATACGCGAACAACATTACTGTGGAACTGTGTGAACGGAGAAAGCGTGTAAATATGTAGTAGGTATTTTAGTACGTATGTAGTCACGTACGATTTTTATACTATTTTGTGGTGCTGACGATATTTGTAAATCTATGAGTGTGTGGCGATTACTTGCTTGTTTCGCAAGTGCCTGACCCAACGTGACGAGTCATGAACAACGAATACTATACGAGGAGGTAGGCGCGAGTCGGTCGCGTGTACCGGGCGTCTTGTTGGACCATGTCAATACAGCGATACGTTTCTTCACAGCACTGTGCTATAAAAGAGATATTAAATATATTTTTTTAAAAACAGCCTTTCATTTTGCAAAAAATTGATGATAGAACGTCCTCCTGGTATCTAAAATTGATTCTTAAGTAGTTCATCGGAAATGAGAGTGGAAGAAGTAGCAGTTGATTGAAGTTTAGCAGTTTGTAAACAGGGTTTAGTATTCAATCTATGTTCTGTCCAGTCGTTTATTTGTCATGTATTGTCACCGCTTACACGTGACCAGCGCTGGTTTTCAAAGGACAACAAAGAATTATAATAGACTTGTTTGTCAGGAGAACATGTTCAAGTGGGCAAACGAGCAGACGGATCACTTGATGGCAAGTGACTACCGCTACCCATTTACACCTGTAACTGAAGAGTAACAAATGCGTTGCCGTCCTTTGAGCCTTAACCCCCGGAATCAGGGGGGAGAGTAGGTTTGGGCTCCGGTAAGATCACTTATTCAGTGAATAGCAACTAAAGAATGGCTTAACACCGATTCCTGTGACGTCACGGCATCATTTGTGCTGAACCATGGCTTGGTTCATCCACTGCTCGACATAGGCCTCTCTTTAGAAAAGAGGTTATTGGACCACTATACCACGCTGGCCAAACGGGTCGGAATAGGGTTGTTTCAAGGTTCTACTTCACTTAGCAGTGCTGATGTCCTGCGTAGTTAGTTCCCTTCGGCTCTGACGACACTTACGGGATGAATAGGGGTGGTGACACTCCGTATTCTTAATCCGTTACAAAAAAAAATTTCTTTTATCACGGTCAACCGACATTTTAGTTTTATTTTAAAGGGGGCAGACGAGCAGACGGGTCACCCGATGGAAAGTGATCATCGCCGCCCATGAACGTCTGCAACTCAGTAGTCACGAACACGTTGCCAGCCTTAGAGTTTGATTGTTAACATAACCATCACCTTTATTTCATTTCAAACGAACGCAAAGAATAAAGGGCACGTCACTTATACGTTACATAATTAATGATAATTGTAAACACTGTCCGTCCGTCCTCTATAGATTATGTTATGTCAGTGCATGACGTGTTGTGTTGAACACGCCGATCCGGCACGCGCCTGCCCGCTGACAGACGAATTGATGTTTTCTGACAAGTTAAGCGAAAAGCATTTCGAATCCAGACTTTAATCATCGGTGCATGATCCGACTTGAAATTCGTAAATGCTGGTGTCCCACAAGGCTGTGTGCTATCACCCACACTGTTTCTTCTGCATATCAATGACATGTTGCAAAGTAGTAGCATCCATTGCTATGCAGATGATAGCACAGGGGATGCCCTTTATACCGGCCGCCCCAATATTTCTCGGGAAAACGTCATCGAGAGTCGAAACAAAATTGTGTCTGAAATTGAAACTTCCTTAGCGGAGGTTTCAGATTAGGACCGACTTAATCTAGTTTAACCCAAAATAAGACACAGGTATGCCCGTTCACCGCAAAAAATATACAATTTGTCGTATCACCTTAGTTTGAGAGCACCTCCCTAACTGCCTCAGCCAGCAACGGAATCCTAGGCATCGACATATCGAGCGAAGTCCAGTTTCGGGTTCACTTAGAGGGTAAGGTCAAATTTTCCTCGAAGAAGCTCGGTGTACTGAACAGAGCGAGGCAGTATTTCACTCCGGCCCACCGCCTTCAGCTCTATAAGGCGCAAGTCCGGCCGCATATGGAATACTGTTCTCATCTCTATGCAGGGGCACCTCAGTACCAGCTTCTCCCTCTGGACCGCACCAACGAAGAGCGACTCGAATCGTCGATAGCCTAGCCGATATAATCTCCGATCGGCTCGATCCCTTGGCATTACGTAGGGATGTCGCTTCACTCTGCATTCTCTATCGCATATATCATGGAGAGTGCTCCGAGGAATTGTTCGGACTAATACCAGCCGCAAAATTCCGCCATCGTTCCCATCGGCAAAATGTTCATCCTCATTACCTGGATAGTTGGCGCTCCTGTACTGTGCGCTTTTCGATAAACTTTTTGCCCCGCACAACCAATCTGTGGAACGGGTTATCGTCTGCGGTATTTCCGGACCGATACGACCTTCAAACCTTCAAGAATCTTTTCTTGAAGGTTTGAAGGTACTCCTTCCTAAAAGGCCGGCAACGCGTTTGTGACTCCTGAGTTGCAGACGTTCATGGGCGGCGATAGTCACTTTCCATCAGTTGACCCGTCTACTCGTCTGCCCCCTCTAACTCGTAGATATACTCGTAATACTTGAAATAATGTACATAATTTTTCTTTAAATAAAATGTTGACACATAAATGTCGCTGCAAAATAGTATTTAACACTTAGAGATCATTATGATGTCCTTATGATCACTGGATATTTTTAACACATGTACAGCTGTTGCTCATTCTTCCTGATGGACAAACGCGAATAGCATATGGCTCCTGATGTAGCCTCTGAACCGTCAAAGTGATGTGTTGCACCATTTAATCAGTGACAATAATTCTAGAAGATGTGACATGCGTGGTTTTGATAATTGACCCCCCCCCCTCCCCCCCCCGGTAGTAAATATTGTCTGTGGGTACTTAGTTAACTCAAATGAATATAGTTTCTTCCAAACATTATCGTAACGTGAGAGAAATGAAGTGAGCCTGTAACATAGCCATGTCCCAGTCGAATACTCGTAGCTGTACCTTTAGTTAATGTGTTTCCTTGTTTCAATACTAATAAGGTAATACTAATAACTTTCTGCCAGAGGCAGGCTGATGACATAGCCAGATTATATTTTTAAATAAGTAATTGTGTTTACATATTGTCCTGTTGTGTTACCTTGTGTTGTTCCGTTTGAAGGACTGATACAACGACACGACACGACGTAATAAGCATGCACTTTACATGAGTACGAAAATTAACATTTATTCCAGAAATAATGTACGCCTTTATTGAAATAAGTAGGTATTTATCAAACGTATATACCAAACTATACAGTTCCATGTGCATCACCTTTACATATATTAAAAAAACCTTCTCATATATAAATATACATTACAATTTTCAAACAAACGATTATAATAAAATAAACCTCTTTTTGAGATATCAAAATATAGATTATTTCTAATTTTTTTTTCTTTTTTTTCACCACATTCACACAACGCCATCTAGTCCCAAACTAAGCAAAGCTTGTAGCTATGGGTTACTAAAGTCTGTTTTTTAATCTCGTAGACTAAACTGACATTACGAGTGTTGTCAGTTTATTGCAAATCTTAAATAGTGATGTGGCACAACCGAAACTTAGCGTTAATAAAATCAAGTATCGCTTTTTACAATAAGTGATCCTGAAATAATGTGTTTATCCTGAAATAATGTGTAGGTACTTATTTAAAACGTAATAATACAACATTAATAATGTAAAACATATATTTTTAATTTTATAACTTAATTACAGGTATTCGCGTTAATCTGATTCAGATAATGACTCCATGTCTGAGGAATATTCTGAATCATCAGAATCGCCACCTACTTCTATGATAAACCTATCAGTAATGTCGTCGGTTATATGGCCCAGATGACACATTTGATCTTCAATTTTAATTACATGGTCTACACAGTCTTTCCACCGCTGCGGGGTCACTCGACGAAGCCCTTCTTCAAAAAGGCTTCGCACTTCATTCATTTTGAATGTTTTATTATTTTTAGCGACATGCCCCTTTACTTGAGCCCAGACCAACTCAATCGGGTTTAGCTCGCAGTGGTAAGGGGGCAGTCGCAAAATAGTGACACCCCGTTCAGCAGCCATCTCGTCGACGACATACCTTTCATGATCTTTTTTGTGCTTTCGGGCAATTTCATTTAATTCGGGCTTTAACATTGTCTCGTCATATGAAATATTTTTTGATTTTAGCCAATCTTGGATTTGCCCTTTTTCCCAACTAGAAGTAGGTAACGATTCCAGTTTCCTGGTATGGAGCATTATATATTACAAGTATATTTTTTTTTTTTGTTTTATTTAAAGGCATCGAAACATGGTCGGATTACGCATGGCGTTGCGTGGTCAGATTTCCCTGGCAGTTTGTAGCACGTCGTGCAGCCGTGTGTACGTACGTGCATTTTAAATATATAACTTTGACTGAAAATTAAATTCGTCTATTATAAATAAAAAGTTACGATTCAACAAACCGGTATCGTAGGTACAACACTGCACAAAAGAGCTGGCAACATTATTTGTAAATTTGACATTTGCATGTGTCAATTTAGTCTACGAGATTAAAAAACAGACTATAGACAACTGATATAAATACATATATATATGTAAAGAGAATGATCTCTTTAATTTGAATATTCGCGCGCACTGGCAGTTCGTGAGTGAGCCGCGTCGTGTCACGTCAAGCTAGTTGTCATTGTCAAAGATATAAAGGACAAATATGCTGATATCGTTGAATTGTATTTTAATCTTATTTGTTAATTAATTTCATACTTAGTTAAGCTATATGCATCGAGAGGTGATAACAATAAACTTTTATTGTCGTTTCTTTACTTACAGGTGAGATTGTGTTAGTTATTAGTTAGTGTGCACAAAAATTGCAGTTTGCATTTAAGCTGGAAGCATCACAAACTGACAATAAGACGAGTGTGAT